GATAATTGGAGACCTATTACATTATTAAATACAGATTATAAATTGATAACTTTAGCATATGCTAATAGACTTTAAAATAGGCCCAAACCACCTCATTATTGAAACCCAAACTGGCCACATCAGCTGTAACATTAGGTTAGTTTTAGACAAGATTGATTACGCTAATTGATTGATTACGCTGATTCAATTGACTCAGAGGATATTCATTTATACCTTGACTTTTGTAAAGCATTTGGTACAATAGAACACATATTCCAAATACATTCGTTGTACACTTTTGGTTTCGGGACTAGCTTTTTCTCTGTTATCAATTTGTTTTATAAAGATATTAATAGTTATGTTATAATTAATCGTAACACATCTAAAATATTTAATATTCACTGTTGGGTATTATTTATTAATAATAATAATAATTAAGCCCTATTTCAGCTTTCTTATTCATTTTAGTTGTAGAATTACTATCTATTAGCATTATAAACTACCCTGAATTAAAAAGGTATTTCAATATTTGGAAAACAAATAAAGATTTCTCAGCTAGCAGACGATACAGCTCTGTTTCTAAAAGGCACTTCATATTATCAAATCATTCTCTTCAGCTTCTGGTCTGGAACTTAACTTACAATGGCTTGCGAAGGTATTCATCCCCCTTGGCATTTTTCCTATTTTGTTGCCTTACAACCTGGAATTAAAATGGATTTTTGGGGGGGATTTGTATAATTTCACTTACACAACATGCCTACTTCTTTGAAGATGCAATATATTTTTATTGTGGAACAAACAAGAAATAAGACAAAAAAACATAACTATTCACCTTTTGCAGCAATTACAGCTTCAAGTCTCATGGGGTATGTCTCTATAAGCTTGGCACATCTAGCCACTGGGATTTCTGCCCATTCTTCAAGGAAAAACTGCTCCAACTCCTTCAAGTTGGATGGGTTCCACTGGTGTACAGCAATCTTTAAGTCATACCACAGATTCTCAATTGGATTGAGGTCTGGGCTTTGACTAGGCCATTCCAAGACATTTAAATGTTTCCCCTTAAACCACTTGAGTGTTGCTTTAGCAGTATGCTTAGGGTCATTGTCCTGCTGGAAGGCGAACCTCCGTCCCAGTCTCAAATCTCTGGAAGACAGAAACAGGTTTCCCTCAAGACTTTCCCTGTATTTAGCGCCATCCATCATTCCTTCAATTCTATCCAGTTTCCCAGTCCCTGCTGATGATAAACATCCCCACAGCATGATGCTGCCTCCACCATGCTTCACTGTGGGGATGGTGTTCTCGGGGTGATGAGAGGTGTTGGGTTTGTGCCAGACATAGCGTTTTCCTTGATGGCCAAAAAGCTCAAATGTAGTCTCATTTGACCAGGGTACCTTCTTCCATATGTTTGGGGAGTCTCCCACATGCCTTTTGGCGAACACCAAACGTGTTTGCTTTTTTTTTTCTGTAAGCAATGGCTTTTTTCTGGCCACTCTTCCGTAAAGCCCAGCTCTGTGGAGTGTACGGCTTAAAGTGGTCCTATGGACAGATACTCCAATCTCCGCAGTGGAGCTTTGCAGCTCCTTCAGGGATATCTTTGGTGTCTTTGTTGCCTCTCTGATTAATGACCTCCTTGCCTGGTCCGTGAGTTTTGGTGGGCGGCCCTCTCTTGGCAGGTTTGTTGTGCTGCCATATTCTTTCCATTTTTTAAATAAATGGATTTAATGGTGCTCTGTGGGAAGTTCAAAGTTTCAGATATTTTTTTATAACCCAACCCTGATTTGTACTTCTCCACAACTTTGTCCCTGACCTGTTTGGAGAGCTCCTTGGTCTTCATGGTGCCGCTTGCTTGGTGGTGCCCCTTGCTTAGTGGTGTTGCAGACTCTGGGGCCTTTCAGAACAGGTGTATATATATACTGAGATCATGTGACACTTAGATTGAACACAGGTGGACTTTATTTTACTAATTATGTGACTTCTGAAGGTAATTGGTTGCACCAGATCTTATTTAGGGGCTTCATAGCAAAGGGGGTGAATACATATGCACTCACCACTTTTCCGTTATTTTTTTTATTTTTATTTTTTTAAACAAGTTGTTTTTTTCATTTCACTTCAACAATTTTGACTATGTTGTGTATGTCCATTACATGAAACCCAAATAAAAAAATAATGTCTGCACTCACTAACTGAAAGTCGCTCTGGATAAGAGCGTCTGCTAAATGACTAAAATGTAATGTAAATGTATAATTGTAAATAAATCCCCTTTGCCCATGAGCATAACTATAGATAAATCCGACAGGAGATTTTGAGTGATGAAAGTTGGACAGAGGATCTCGAAATGTCAGAGCAAGAAAAACTTGGATGAACATAAAAAAAAACTAATGTTAGGCTATTTTCTGGCAATTGTGCTGCTATTATGTGCCAAATGTTAAGGCTACAAATGGCCCATTTGCGAGATTGACTTATTTCAATAGGCATAGGTTACAGTGTAAAATCTGGGTTTATTGATTCTAATAAAAATTTGCCATGGTTTGTTTGGATAAAGGCAGGTAGCCTATAGCTCCTGATAGTCCTACATCTCATTTCAGACAGTCTACAGAAGGCTAGACAAGATGGAGGCAAGATGTAAACTGAACGATTTAGCAGCTTGCTTAGTTCAAATTAACAGACGAATTTATTTAACATGAATAGCGAGGCGATTAAAAAAAGTGTTTCCCAATAGCCTGCTGGAATAGGCTACTGAGGATGGGGTCGTAATTTCAAACACTGAATTAAATATTAATAATATGCATATTAACAGAATATGCTTGTCAACAACAGCCAGTATTTATTTTTTAGAATGTGTTTTACCTGTAACCTAATCTGACTACTGTCGCCATCAATCTAATGCGTTCTAACAACTGATCGGCAATAGAGCTTTGATCATTTCCAATTTAATTAACTAAACATGCCCATTAATAATTGCATAATAACACAAGGCTACAAGAACAATAAACTGAAGTTATGGGCTATTTATTAAATTGGTTTGCCAGCTCCAGGTAGGCTACACAAGTGGCACAAATTGATTTGCAATGACTCCAGTGATATCGTCATTTCAACATATGTATTGTATCAAATGGTAGCGTACAATGGCATATACATCAATAGTGTACTAGATGGCCAACAGAGGCAAATGTATGATGTCCGTTTCATTGAGGACTTTTCCCCATAAAAAGAACCACGCGAGGGAGTTCCATAACTTCCATTTCCAATGTCCACTCCGGCAGCCCCAGAGACCCAAGAACTGAGCATGCATAAAGCACTTCGCTTGATACAGTTTTCTCTAAGCAGTCACCATTTGAATGCAGTTTAAACCACCTCCGAGCGGATTTTTGTAATGTGCTCTAGTGCGCCCAAAGTCTTTTTCTAGTGCTTTGGCTCCATTATTTCTTGATGTGCATCAGTTATAGAGTATGAATATGTTTTATGGAAAAAGGTTTGTTAATAGGTGTCTCCATAACGACTATCTAAATAGCCGACCTACAACTGGTAAAAAGCTGCTATCGCTCACGTGACTCAGCCAATAACTGTACTGCTCTCTCAACACACACACACACACACACACACACACACACACACACACACACACACACACACACACACACACACACACACACACACACACACACACACACACACACACACACACACACACCACACACACACACACACACACATACACACACACACACACACACACACACACACCACACACACACACACACACACACACACACACACACACACACACACACACCATTCACTAACTCAGTAACAGCCTGCCTCACTGCCTGACAGTCAGCAGCAGGTCACAGTGAAATGCATTTTCAAGACAAATGAAGCTTAGAAATAGCTCAAAAAAACCCGCAACAAATAAATTACCACCCGCGACATCGTTTTCAAAGTAGCCCAATTTGGCGGGAAAACATAGGAACGGCAGATAGGAAACAATGGGGTGACGTCATCAATGGGTTTGTTTTTACAGTCTAATGGTTACAACTGAAGCATTGTACCGACTTGTTTTGCATGTCCCGGTGCCCCGGGGGTGCGGAGTTTATTTATTTTAGATCCTTCCATTGGTCCTTAAGTGAAATCTCCACTCACACGTGGAACCGGCCCATGCAAAACGAACTAGCCCATTGCAGTATTCTAAAAACACTGGATCATCAAAACACATTTATCAGATGGCGGTAGACTGATAAACTAGCTAGCTAGTGTGGACTCAATATTGACAAATATTAGATGTATGAACTGTATATTATGAATAAAGTTGATATCTTCTCTTACTACATCGTTCATTTAGAAATTCGAACAAAATGTAGCAAGAAATCGTGAATTAACGTTCTCCTCCGACACGCGCCCCGGGCAGGTGAACTCAAATAGCCCGCGCTAGCAACACGTGGCGTGATTGGACATTTCAATTGGAAGAAAATTCCTACGCCAATCAGAAGGGCGCATCATGCCACGTGACATCGACTGTTCGACCAATGGGGCTTTTTTTCTCCACAGAATTCGTATTTTTTTGTCTGTGGACGAGCTGCTTTATCCGTGGTAAGATGTTTAAAAACTGTCGATTTAGCGAGCAACTTTAACCAAATGTGTGATATTTGGTCAAAGATGTATTGAGATAACAATAACCTTTGCAAACTAGCTTACCATATTTACAAAAAAACATAGCTGGGAAAGTGAAGTTACCTTTCAGCCAAGTAGTAGCTAGCTAACGAACTTGTTTTGCTAACCTAGCTAGGTAACGTTTTGTATTCATGACATTAGCTACTCATAACTTACTCATTGTATTTTTGCTAGGTAGCAACAAAGCCTAGATAACGTTAGCCAGCTCGCTAGCTAGCTGTGCAGACACAGTGTCGTCTGTGAGGCAAACAAGGCAGTGCTTGTGAGCATCATCAAAGTGACCTTTCAATACCTCTATGGTGCCTACTTATACAGCTCATCTCACTACACCTTTCTGTGTCACACTGCCTGCAGAGACCCGGTAGTTAGGTAACTAAGATGATGGATGCTCTGTCTGTGGTGACCCAGCTCCGGGACCTGGCGTCGGAGCCCCAGAATCGGGAGGCAATAGTCCAGGACCAGGGCTGCCTCCCCGGGCTGGTTCTCTTCCTGGACCACCAGGACCCGCATGTGCTGTTCGCCACCTTGCAGGTCGGTCTAACCTGCTACTGTCCTCCGGAAGCCACAACAAGAAACAGACAAAACAGATATCCCATAAATCACTATATGACTAACAGGTTACAGCTGCAGAAGGAGCTGTATTTTTAAAAACTTTATAGTATAGCTAGTTGGTAACTGTAGAGCTTTTCCCACAAGAACAAACAAACAAAAACACAACAGAACACAAGGCAGTTCCTTCTAATATCTCACGGGGGCCATCCTTCCAAATCTTGTCTCATTGAGCAAAGGAAGCCTGGGTGTCCGAGGCTAAATCTAACCAGACAACCAACAATACACGTTCAAAAACAATGATAGTGACATTCAATATCCCTCAAACTTGTGAACAGGATGTAGTAGTGGCTCTTGCTGATATGTAACATCTCTGTCTCACTCGCTCTCTCTCTCTCTCTCTCTCTCTCTCTCTCTCTCTCTCAGACTATGCGCTACCTGGCAGAGTGGCCCCTCAACATCCCCACTATGAAGAATGAACTGGGCATGATGGTCAGCTTGGAGACCCTGATGGAGAGGTCAGTCAGTCAGACTCTCTCAGGTCCCTGTTTAACTGTGTTTGTGTGTGTAAAACTGTGTGTACCTATGGCTTTGACATCACAATTGTGAATTGCAACAATGCATCAATCAACTGGACATCATGTGACCCGCATGTGCCGTTGAGATGGCGCCGGAGGGGATGGCTGCTGTTTTTATGGACCCCCCCCCCCCCCCCCCCCCCCCCCCCGCATTGTTTAGAACTTATTTTGTACATAATGTTGATGCTACCGTCTCTTATGACCGAAAAGAGCTTCTGGACATCAGAACAGCGATTACTCTCCTTGAACTGGACAAATAATTTTTTATTTTATGAGTCGGACGAGAGGGATTTGCTCCAGACACCCGACAGGGCCCTCATCCCCGTCATTCGCAGTAGAAAGAAAAGGAGATATCGCGGAAGGATATCGGGGTGCTTGGTAAGGAGCCGGCGACGAGTGGCTAATCTGCCTTTGCCATCGATACTATTGGCTAATTTACAATCGCTTGATAATAAAATGGACAAACTACAGGCACGAATATCCTACCAACGGGACATTAAAAACTGTAATATCTTATGTTTCACTGAGTCGTGGCTGAACGATGACATGAATAACATACAGCTGGCGGGTTATACACTGTATCGGCAGGATAGAACGGCAGCCTCTGGTAAGACAAGGGGAGGCGGTCTATGTATATTTGTAAACAACAGCTGGTGCACGATGTGTAAGGAAGTCTCGAGGTTTTGCTCGCCTGAGTTAGAGTATCTCATGATAAGCTGTAGACCCACTATCTACCAAGAGAGTTTTCATCTATATTTTTCGTAGCTGTCTATTTACCACCACAAACCAATGCTGGCACTAAGACCGCACTCAATGAACTGTATAGCCCCCCATGTAGCTCAGTTGGTAGAGCATGGCGTTTGCAACGCCAGGGTTGTGGGTTCGATTCCCACGGGGGGCCAGTATGAAAATGTATGCACTCACTAACTGTAAGTCGCTCTGGATAAGAGTGTCTGCTAAATGACTAAAATGTATACGGCCATAAGCAAACAAGAAAATGCTCATCCAGAGGCGGCGCTCCTAGTGGCCGGGGACTTTAATGCAGGGAAACTTAAATCCGTTTTACCTCATTTCTACCAGCATGTTAAATGTGCAACCAGAGGGAAAAAACTCTAGACCACCTTTACTCCACACACAGAGACGCATACAAAGCTCTCCCTCACCCTCCAATTGGAAAATCTGACCATTATTCTATACTCATGATTCCTGCTTATAAGCAAAAACTAAAGCAGGAAGCACCAGTGACTCGGTTAATAAAAAAGTGGTCAGATGACGCAGATGCTAAGCTACAGGACTGTTTTGCTGCACAGACTGGAATATGTTCCGGGATTCTTCAGACAGCATTGAGGAGTACACCACATCAGTCACTGGCTTCATCAATAAGTGCATCGATGATGTCGTCCCCACAGTGACCGTACGTACATACCCCAACCAGAAGCCATGGATTACAGGAAACATCCGCACTGAGCTAAAGGGTAGAGCTGCCGCTTTCAAGGAACGGGACTCTAACCCGGAAGCTTATAAGAAATCCCGCTATGCCCTCAGATGAACCATCAAACAGGCAAAGCGTCAATACAGGACTAAGATTGAATCGTACTACACCGGCTCCGACGCTCGTCAGATGTGGCAGGGCTTGCAAACTATTACAGACTACAAAGGGAAGCAGAGCTGCCCAGTGATACGAGCCTACCAGACCAGCTAAATTACTTCTATGCTCGCTTCGAGGCAAGTAACACTGAAGCATGCACGAGAGCACCAGCTGTTCCGGACGACTGTGTGAACACGCTCTCCGTAGCCGATGTGAGTAAGACCTTTAAACAGGTCAACATTCACAAGGCCGCAGGGCCAGACGGATTACCAGGACGTGTACTCCGAGCATGTGCTGACCAACTGGCAAGTGTCTTCACTGACATTTTCAACCTGTCTGTAATACCAACAGACCACCACAGTCCCTGTGCCCAAGAACACTAAGGTAACCTGTCTAAATGACTACCGACCCGTAGCACTTATGTCTGTAGCCATGAAGTGCTTTGAAAGACTGGTCAAGGCTCACATCAACACCATTATCCCAGAAACCGTAGACCCACTCCAATTTGCATATGGCCCCAACAGATCCACAGATGATGCAATCTCTATTGCGCTCCACACTGCCCTTTCACACCTGGACAAAAGTTAACCTATGTGAGAATGCTATTCATTGACTACAGCTCAGCGTTCAACACCATAGTGCCCTCAAAGCGCTTCACTAAGCTAAGGACCCTGGGACTAAACACCTCCCTCTGCAACTGGATCCTGGACTTCCTGACGGGACGCCCCCAGGTGGTAAGGGTAGGTAACAACACATCTGCCACGCTGATCCTCAACACGGGGGCCCCTCAGGGGTGGGTGCTCAGTCCCCTCCTGTACTCCCTGTTCACTCATGACTGCATGGCCAGGCACGACTCTGACACCATCATTAAGTTTGCAGATGACACAACAGTGGTAGGCCTGATCACCGACAAGGACGAGACAGCCTATAGGGAGGAGGTCAGAGACCTGGCTGTGTGGTGCCAGGATAACAACCTTTCCCTCAACGTGAGCAAGACAAAGGAGATGATTGTGGGCTACAGGAAAAAGAAGAGGACCGAGCACGTCCCCACTCTCATTGACGGGGCTGTAGTGGAGCAGGTTGAAAGCTTCAAGTTCCTTGGTGTCCACATCACCAACAAACTAACATGGTCAAAGCACACCAAGACAGTCGTGAAGAGGGCACGACAAAACCTATTCCCCTAAGGAGACTGAAAAGATTTGGCATGGGTCCTCAGATCCTCAAAAAGTTATACAGCTGCACCATCTATAGCATCCTGACTGGTTGCATCACTGCCTGGTATGGCAACTGCTCGGCCTCCGACCGCAAGGCACTACACAAGGTAGTGCGTAAGGCCCAGTACATCACTGGGGCCAAGCTTCCTGTCATCCAGGACCTCTATACCAGGCGGTGTCAGAGGAAGGCCCTAAAAATTGTCAGACTCCAGCCACCCTAGTCATAGTCTGTTCTCTCTGCTACCGCACGGCAAGCGGTACCGGAGCGCCAATCTATTAAGAGCTCTAACCTCTGCTATTCCTGACTCTATAAAGGCTACCCACTATTCATGCCCCCCACCCGCTCTACCTGTATACTCTCTTCTGTTATCTACATGTTAGTCCTGTACAGTAACTCACACTGTAACATAGCCTTGACTAACCTTCTACTACACATTGACTCTGTACCGGTACCCCCCTGTATATAGCCTCCCTACTGTTATTTCCCATTGACTCTGTACCGGTACCACCCCCTGTATATAGCCTCTCTACTGTTATTACACATTGACTCGTACCGGTACCCCCCCTGTATATAGCCTCCCTACTGTTATTTACACATTGACTCTGTACCGGTACCCCCTGTATATAGCCTCCCTACTGTTATTCCCATTGACTCTGTACCGGTACCCCCTGTATATAGCCTCCCTACTGTTATTACACATTGACTCTGTACCGGTACCCCCTGTATATAGCCTCCCTACTGTTATTACACATTGACTCTGTACCGGTACCCCCTGTATATAGCCTCCCTACTGTTTCCATTGACTCTGTACCGGTACCCCTGTATAGCCTCCCTACTGTTATTACACATTGACTCTGTACCGGTACCCCCCCTGTATATAGCCTCCCTACTGTTATTACACATTGACTCTGTACCGGTACCCCCTGTATATAGCCTCCCTACTGTTATTTCCATTGACTCTGTACCGGTACCCCCTGTATATAGCCTCCCTACTGTTATTACACATTGACTCTGTACCGGTACCCCCCCTGTATATAGCCTCCCTACTGTTATTTCCCATTGACTCTGTACCGGTACCCCCTGTATATAGCCTCCCTACTGTTATTTCCCATTGACTCTGTACCGGTACCCCCTGTATATAGCCTCCCTACTGTTATTCCCATTGACTCTGTACCGGTACCCCCTCCCGCCCTGTATATAGCCTCCCTACTGTTATTTCCCATTGACTCTGTACCGGTACCCCCTGTATATAGCCTCCCTACTGTTATTTCCCATTGACTCTGTACCGGTACCCCCTGTATATAGCCTCCCTACTGTTATTACACATTGACTCTGTACCGGTACCCCCTGTATATAGCCTCCCTACTGTTATTTTTACTGCTGCTCTTTAATTATTTGTTACTTTTGGTCCTCTGTAGCTCAGCTGGTAGAGCACGGCGCTTGTAACGCCAAGGTAGTGGGTTCGATCCCCGGGACCACCCATACACAAAAATGTATGCACGCATGACTAAGTCGCTTTGGATAAAAGCGTCTGCTAAATAGCATATTATTATTATTATTATCATTATTTTATTTCGTATTTATTTTATATTGTATTTTTTGTGTGTTTTAAAAATAATAATAATTTGGTATTCTTTCTTAAAACTGCATTGTTGGTTAAGGGCTGTAAGTAAGCATTTCACTGTAAGGTCTACACCTGTTGTATTCGGCGCATGTGACAAATACAATTTGAATTGATTTGAAATGAATGTTTTCAATGAATCCTACTCCTTTCTTGGGCCTGGCTCCACCCACTGGACTGTCTCCACCCACTGGACTGTCTCCACCCACTGGACTGTATCCACCCACTGGACTGTATCCACTCACACATACTTACTGACACCACAACACACACAAACACTACATACACTCACACTCACAGCATGCGCAGACAACACACGCTGCTGCTACTGTCTATCTATCCTGTTGCCTAGTAACTTTACCCCTACCTATATGTACATAGCTACCTCAATTACATTTACATTACATTTACATTTACGTCATTTAGCAGACGCTCTTATCCAGAGTGACTTACAAATTGGTGCATTCACCTTATAGCCAGTGGGATAACCACTTTACAATATGTTTTTTTTTATTTCTTTGGGGTGGGGTAAGGGGGGATAGAAGGATTACTTTATCCTATCCTAGGTATTCCTTAAAGAGGTGGTGTTTCAATTACCTCGTACCCCTGCACATCGACTCAGTACTGGTACCCCCTGAATATAACCATGTTATTACCTGGTACTTCCTGTATATAGCCATGTTATTACCTGGTACTCCCTGTATATAGCCATATTTTTACCTGGTACTTCCTGTATATAGCCATGTTATTACCTGGTACTCCCTGTATATGGCCATGTTATTACCTGGTACTTCCTGTATATAGCCATGTTATTACCTGGTACTTCCTGTATATAGCCATGTTATTACCTGGTACTTCCTGTATATAGCCATGTTATTACCTGGTACTTCCTGTATATAGCCATGTTATTACCTGGTACTTCCTGTATATAGCCATGTTATTACCTGGTACTTCCTGTATATAGCCATGTTATTACCTGGTACTTCCTGTATATAGCCATGTTATTACCTGGTACTCATTCCTTGTCGCTATTTACATTTAAAAAAAAATATTTATTTGGAAAAGGACCTGTAAGTCAGCATTTCACTGTTAGTCTACACCTGTTGTTTATGAAGCATGTGACAAATACAATTTGATAAGAATTTGATTTGATTTGTAGGCGTGGTTTGTCTGACATCCTGTTTCTTGTAGGAGTGGTTTGCCTGATGACATCAACGTCCTGTCGAGGGAGGTGTACGGTATCCTGAGTGCCCCCCCTACCCCAGCCCCCCCCAGCCCAGAGAGAGAGAGGAGGAGGAACAAACCTCAGTTCTTCCTCAACTCCTCCAAAGGGAAGAACAAGTCTGTCACTCTGCACATCCAAGGCCTGGACAGCACTGTGAGTGTATATACCAACCTCGGTCTACTCTATATACAGTAACCACGCAAAAGGTTGGACACACCTACTCATTCAAGGGCTTTTCTTTATTTTTACTATTTTTAACATTGTAAAATAATAGTGAAGACATCAAAACTATGAAATAGTGTTAAACAAATTTAAAATATATTTTATATTTGAGATTCTTCAAATAGCCACTCTTTGCCTTGATGACAGCTTTGCATTCTCTTAACCAGATTCATGAGATACAGTTGAAGTCGGAAGTTTACATACACTTAGGTTGGAGTAATTAAAACTAGTTTTTCAACCACTCCACAAATTTCTTGTTGACAAACTATAGTTTTGGCAAGTCGGTTAGGACATCTACTTTGTGCATGACACAAGTAATTTTTCCAACAATTGTTTACAGACAGAATATTTCATTTATAATTCACTGTATCACAATTCCAGTGGGTCAGAAGTTTACATACACTAAGTTGACTGTGCCTTTAAACAGCTTGGAAAATTCCAGAAAATGATGTCATGGCTTTAGAAGCTTCTGATAGGCTAATTGACATCATTTGAGTCAATTGGAGGTGTACCTGTGGATGTATTTCAAGGCCTACCTTCAAACTCAGTGCCTCTTTGCTTGACATCATCATGGGAAAATCAAAAGAAATCAGCCAAAAATTGTAGACCTCCCCAAGTCTGGTTCATCCTTGGGAGCAATTTCCAAACACCTGAAGGTACCACGTTCATCTGTACAAATAATAGTACGCAAGTATAAACACCATGGGACCACGCAGCCGTCATACCGCTCAGGAAGGAGACGCATTCTGTCTCCCAGAGATGAACGTACTTTGGTGCGAAAAGTGCAAATCAATCCCAGAACCACAGCAAAGGACCTTGTGAAGATGCTGGAGGAAACCGGTACAAAAGCATCTATATCCACAGTAAAACAAGTCCTATATCGACATAACCTGAAAGGCCGCTCAGCAAGGAAGAAGCCACAGCTCCAAAACCGCCATTAAAAAGCCACACTACGGTTTGCAACTGCACATGAGGACAAAGATCTTACTTTTTGGAGAAATGTCCTCTGGTCTGATGAAACAAAAATAGAACTGTTTGGCCATAATGACCATCGTTATGTTTGGGGGAAGAACACCATCCCAACCGTGAAGCACTGGGGTGGCAGCATCATGCTGTGGGGGTGCTTTGCTGCAGGAGGGACTGGTGCACTTCACAAAATAGATGGCATCATGAGGAAGGAAAATTATGTGGATATATTGAAGCAACATCTCAAGACATCAGTCAGGAAGTTAAAGCTTGGTCGCAAATGGGTCTTCCAAATGGACAATGACCCCAAGCATACTTCCAAAGTTGTGGCAAAATGGCTTAGAACAACAAAGTCAAGGTATTGGAGTGGCCATCACAAAGCCCTGACCTCAATCCTATAGAACATTTGTGGGCAGAACTGAAAAAGCGTGTGTGAGCAAGGAGGCCTACAAACCTGACTCGGTTACACCAGCTCTGTCAGGAGGAATGGGCCAAAATTCACCCAACTTATTGTGGGAAGCTTGTGGCAGGCTACCCGAAACGTTTGACCCAAGTTAAACAATTTAAAGGCAATGCTACCAAATACTAATTGAGTGTATGTAAACTTCTGACCCACTGGGAATGTGATGAAATAAATAAAAGCTGAAATAAATCATTCTCTCTACTATTATTCTGACATTTTACATTCTTAAAATAAAGTGGTGATCCTAACTGACCTAAGACAGGGAATTTTTACTAGGATTAAATGTCAGGAATTTTGAAAAACTGAGTTTAAATGTATTTGGCTAAGGTGTATGTCAACTTCCGACTTCAACTGTAGTCACCTGGAATGCATTTTAATTAACAGGTGTGCCTTCTTAAAAGTTTATTTGTGGAATTTCTTTCCTTAATGCGTTTGAGCCAATCAGTTGTGTTGTGACAAGGTAGGGATGGTATACATAAGATAGCCCTATTTGGTAAAAGACCAAGTCCATATTATGGCAAGAACAGCTCAAATAAGCAAAGAGAAATGACAGTCCATCATTACTTTAAGACATGAAGGTCAGTCACTACTGAACATTTCAAGAACTTTTGAAAGTTACTTCAAGTGCAGTCGCAAAAACCATCAAGCGCTATGATGAAACTGGCTCTCATGAGGACCGCCACAGGAAAGGAAGACCCAGAGTTACCTCTGCTGCAGAGGATAAGTTCATTAGAGTTACCAGCCTCAGAAATTGCAGCCCAAATAAATGCTTCACAGAGTTGAAGTAAATCTCAACAACTGTTCAGAGGGGACTGTGTGAATCAGGCCTTCATGGTCGAATTGCTGCAAAGAAACCACTACTAAAGGACACCAATAAGAAGCATAGAATTTCTTGGGCCAAGAAACACGAGCAATGGACATTAGACCGGTGGAAATGAGACTTTTGGTTCCACCTGCTGTGTCTTTGTGAGACACGGTGTGGGTGAACGGATGATCTCTGCATGTGTAGTTCCCACCGTAAAGCATGGAGGAGGAGGAGGTGTGATGGTGTGGGGGTGTTTTGCTGGTGACACTGTCTGTGATTTATTTAGAATTCAAGGCACACTTAACCACAGCATTCTGCAGTGATATGCCATCCCATCTGGTTTGAGCTTAGTGGGACTATCACTTGTTTTTCAACAGGACAATGACCCAAAACACACCTCCAGGCTGTGTAATGGCTATTTGACCAAGAAGGAGAGTGATGGAGTGCTGCATCAGATGATCTGGCCTCCACAATCACCCGACCTCAACCCAATTGAGATGGTTTGGGATGAGTCGGACCGCAGAGTGAAGGAAAAGCAGCCAACAAGTGCTCAGCATATGTGGGAACTCCTTCAGGACCGTTGGAAAAGCATTCCTCATGAAGCTGGTTGAGAGAATGCCAAGAGTGTGCAAAGCTGTCATCAAGGCAAAGGGTGGCTACTTTGAAGAATCTCAAATATAAAATATATTTTGATGTTTAACACTTTCTTGGTTACTACATGATTCCATATGTTTTATTTCATAGTTTTGATGTCTTCACTATTATTCTACAATGTAGAAAATAGTAAAAATAAAGAAAAACCCTTGAATGAGTAGGTGTGTCCAAACCTTTTGACTGGACACACAGCTCACAGCTCTACATACATAGCCTCAGAAGCCAGGCTTAAGTCACGAAAGCAGAAAGATGCTTAAAAAGGGGTGGTGTGGTGGAGTCTAGATACAAACTAGTGACGCGTTGCTGCTCAAACCAATGAAATGGGGACAGTTGGCTGGCTAGTGATTGATAACTGTTTCCTACTATAGACAGTTGGCTGCCTGGTGATTGATAACAACTCTGTTTCCTACTATAGACAGTTGGCTGCCTAGTGATTGATAACAACTCTGTTTCCTACTATAGACAGTTGGCTGCCTAGTGATTGATAACAACTCTGTTTCCTACTATAGACAGTTGGTTGCCTGGTGATTGATAACTGTTTCCTACTATAGACAGTTGGCTGTCTAGTGATTGATAACAACTCTGTTTCCTACTATAGACAGTTGGCTGCCTGGTGATTGATAACAACTCTGTTTCCTACTATAGACAGTTGGCTGCCTGGTGATTGATAACAACTCTGTTTCCTACTATAGACAGTTGGCTGCCTAGTGATTGATAACAACTCTGTTTCCTACTATAGACAGTTGGCTGCCTAGTGATTGATAACAACTCTGTTTCCTACTATAGACAGTTGGCTGCCTAGTGATTGATAACAACTCTGTTTCCTACTATAGACAGTTGGCTGCCTAGTGATTGATAACTGTTTCCTACTATAGACAGTTGGCTGCCTAGTGATTGATAACAACTCTGTTTCCTACTATAGACAGTTGGCTGCCTAGTGATTGATAACAACTCTGTTTCCTACTATAGACAGTTGGCTGCCTAGTGATTGATAACAACTCTGTTTCCTACTATAGACAGTTGGCTGGCTAGTGATTGATAACAACTCTGTTTCCTACTATAGACAGTTGGCTGCCTAGTGATTGATAACAACTCTGTTTCCTACTATAGACAGTTGGCTGCCTGGTGATTGATAACAACTCTGTTTCCTACTATAGGCAGTTGGCTGCCTAGTGATTGATAACATTGTTAACTCTCAGATGTGAATAGTTGGCAACATATTTTTTTCTCCAAGTGCTACTGAATTAGCTCAACTGAAATTCCCCCGATTGCTCATGATACACATAATTACTCTACTCTATCCATCCATTCCAAATCATTATACTATACATGACACAGGGGCGGAATATGTTGATCATGCCTTGGGCGGCAGCAGAACTGCTAGGGCCTGACCAACATAATCATTTGCCTCTAATTTACTTGCGTTTGTGGCGGACCTTGGCCTGCTCAAAGTGAGCCGCTGCTGCTGGGAGGTCAAAACGGACCAACTCCCTGGAGCAGCTTGATGCACATCAGCCTGCTTACTTTGTCCTCCAGAAGGAGCGATCTGGAGGCCGGCTTTACTCTGTTTTAGAAAAAGAAACGCCTCTCGGCGGGCATACTGGAAACGGAGATAATCAACAGTCTTTGCCAGTTTTGTCCAATCAGGGTACACTTAGCTGAAGTCCCTAATGAGGACCTCACGTCTTTTGTCCAATCAGGGTACACTTAGCTGAAGTCCCTAATGAGGACCTCACGTCTTTTGTCCAATCAGGGTACACTTAGCTGAAGTCCCTAATGAGGACCTCACATCTTTTGTCCAATCAGGGTACACTTAGCTGAAGTCCCTAATGAGGACCTCACGTCTTTTGTCCAATCAGGGGACACTTAGCTGAAGTCTAGAAACTCACCCAACTCTCTGCATAGTCACTTTACCCCTACCTACATGACCTCCACTAACCTGTACCCCCTGTATATAGCCTCGTTATTGTTATTTTATTGTTACTTTTTTATTTAATTTTTTACTTTAGTTTATTTAGTAAATATTTTCTTAACTCTTTCTTGAACTGCATTGTTGGTTAAGGGCTTGTAAGTAAGCATTTCACGGTGAGGTCTACACCTGTTGTATTCGGTGCATTTGATTTGAACACTAATTTCAAAGCAGCTTGAGGATTTATTAGCCTATGATTTAATCAAAAGAATAATTTTTTGTTCTCCCAGACAATTTGGCGGCAACAATTTTATTGATGGGATTTTAATTTAGTTTATCGGCTAAAAGCCGGCATTTACCGGCTAACGGAAACCCTGCTGTATACTAACGGACTGTGTGTGTTGTGTCCAGGACCAGCGAGGTATGTGTGAGGAGGCTCTACTGAAGGTTAAAGGGGTGATCAGCTTCACCTTCCAGATGGCTTCTAAGAGATGCACCGTCCGCATCCGCTCTGACCTGCCCACTGAGGTAGCTAACTCTCTAGCTCTCCATCTGTCTCTCTAGCTCTCCATCTGTCTCTCTAGCTCTCCATCTGTCTCTCATCTGTCTCTCTAGCTCTCCATCTGTCTCTCTAGCTCTCCATCTATCTCTCTAGCTCTCCATCTGTCTCTCTAGCTCTCCATCTGTCTCTCTAGCTCTCCATCTATCTCTCTAGCTCTCCATCTGTCTCTCTAGCTCTCCATCTATCTCTCTAGCTCTCCATCTGTCTCTCTAGCTCTCCATCTGTCTCTCTAGCTCTCCATCTGTCTCTCTAGCTCTCCATCTGTCTCTCTAGCTCTCCATCTGTCTCTCTAGCTCTCCATCTATCTCTCTAGCTCTCCATCTGTCTCTCTAGCTCTCCATCTGTCTCTCTAGCTCTCCTGCTGTCTCTCTAGCTCTCCTGCTGTCTCTCTAGCTCTCCTGCTGTCTCTCTAGCTCTCCTGCTGTCTCTCTAGCTCTCCACCTGTCTCTCTAGCTCTCCACCTGTCGCTCTAGCTCTCCATCTGTCTCTTTAGCTCTCCATCTAGCTCTCCTGCTGTCTCTCTAGCTCTCCTGCTGTCTCTCTAGCTCTCCATCTGTCTCTCTAGCTCTCCATCTGTCTCTCTAGCTCTCCTGCTGTCTCTCTAGCTCTCCTGCTGTCTCTCATCTGTCTCTCTAGCTCTCCATCTGTCTCTCTAGCTCTCCATCTGTCTCTCTAGCTCTCCCTCTGTCTCTCTAGCTCTCCCTCTGTCTCTCTAGCTCTCCCTCTGTCTCTCTAGCTCTCCATCTGTCTCTCTAGCTCTCCATCTGTCTCTCTAGCTCTCCATCTATCTCTCTAGCTCTCCATCTGTCTCTCTAGCTCTCCATCTTTCTCTCTAGCTCTCCATCTGTCTCTCTAGCTCTCCTGCTGTCTCTAGCTCTCCATCTGTCTCTCTAGCTCTCCTGCTGTCTCTTTCACACCACCTGCTAAGATCTACCACAGAGCCCAGGACCTTTCCTCGTAGCCTCCAATCGTGTGAGCTTAAATTTTTTTTTACCCCCAAAGGCTTTTAAAACCTCCCTTTTTTTCCCCCCCCCCCTTTTTTTTCTCTTCCCCCCCCCTCCCATCTTTTTTCCCCCCCCCCCCTTTTTTTTTTTTTTTTTTTTCCCCCCCCCTTTTTTTTTTTCTATCTTCCCCCCCCCCCCCCTTTTTTGCCCCCCCCCTTTTTTTTTTAAAAAAAAAATTTTTCCCCCCTTCCCCCCCTTTTTTTCCCCCCCCCCCCCCTTCTTCCCCTTTTTTTCCCCCCCTTTTTCTTCCCTTCCCTCTGGTTTTTTTTCCCCCCCCCGTCTCTCTAGGTTTTTTCCCCGTTTTTCCCCCCCTCCCTTTTTTTTCCCCCCCCCAAAAACCCCAAACCTTTTTTCCCCCCCCCCCGGCCCCCCCTTTTGTTTTTCCCCTTTTTGCTTCTTTTTTCCCCCCCCACCCCCCTTTTTTCCCCCCCCCTTTCTCCTTCCCCTTCCCCCCCCCCTTTTTTCCCCCTTTCTTTCCCCCTTTAAAACCCCCTTTTTTTCCCCCCTTTTTTCCCTTTTTCTCCTTTCTTTCCCCCTTTTTTTCCCCTTTCCCCTTTTTTCCCCGTTTTTTTCCCCCCCCCCCCGGTTTTTTTTCCTTTCCCCTTTTTTCTCCATTGGCCCCCCCCCCCAAACCCCCCCCCCCCTTTTTTTTTTTTTTTCTCTCCACTTCCTTTTTTTTCTCCCCTCCCACCCCCCCCCCCTTTTTCCCCCCCTTTTTCCCAAAAACCCCCCCTTTTCCCTTTTTTTTTTTTTTCCCCCCCTTTTCTTTGGGGCCCCCCCCCCCCCCGCCCAAAACCCCGGGGGGGGGTTTTTTTTTTGGGGGAAAAAAACCCCCCCCAAAAAAAGGGGGGGGCCCCCCCGGGGGCCCCCCCCCTTTTTTCCCCCCTTTTTCCCCCCCCCCTTTTTCCCCCCCCCCGGGGGGGCCCCCCCCCCCTCCCCCCCCCCCCCCCCCCCCCCTTTTTTTTCCCCCCCCCCCCCCCCCCCCCCCCCCCCCCCCGGCCCCCCCCCCCCCCCCCCCCCCCCCCCCCCGGGGGGGCCCCCCCCCCCCCCCCCCCCCCCGCCCCCCCCCCCCCCCCCCCCCCCCCCCCCCCCCCCCCCCCCCCCCCCCCCCCCCCCCCCCCCCCCCCCCCGGCCCCCCCCCGCCCGGGCCCCCCCCCCCGGCCCCCCCCCCCCCCCCCCCCCCCCCCCCCCCCCCCCCCCCCCCCCCCCCCCCCCTTTCCCCCCCCCCCCCCCTTTCCCCCCCAAAAAAAAAAACCCCCCCGCCTGTTCCCCCCCCCCCCCCCCTTTTCCCCCCCCCTTTCCCCCCCCCTTTTTTTTCCCCCCCCCCCCCCTTTCCCCCCCTTTTTTCCCCCCCCCCCCCCTTTCCCCCCCCTTTTTTTCCCCCCCCCCCCCCCCCCCCCTCCCCTCCTCCCCCCCACCCCCCCCCCTCCCCTTTTTTTCCCCCCCCCCCCCCTCCGCCTTTCCCCCCCCCCCCTTTCCCCCCCCGGCCCCCCCACCCAACCCCCCCCCCCCTTTTCCCCCCCCCCCAAAAAAACCCCCCCCCCCCCCCCCCCCCCCCCCCCCGCCCCCCCTTTTCCCCCGGGGTTTTTCCCCCCCCCCCCCCCCCCCGGAACCGGGCCCCCCCGTTTTTTCCCCCCCCCCCCTTTCCCTTTTTTTTTCCTTCCCCCCCCCCCCTTTCCCCCCCCGCCCTCCCCCCCTTTCCCCCCCCCCCTTGGGGCCCCCCCCCCCCCCCCCCGGCCCCCCCCCTCACCCCCCCCCCCCCCCTTTCCCCCCCCCCTCCCCCCCCCCCCCCTCCCCCCCTTTCCCCCCCCCCTTTTTCCCCCCCCCCCCCCCCCCCCCCCCCTTTTTTTTTCCCCCCCCCCCCCTTTTTCCCCCCCCCCCCCCCCCTTTTCCCCCCCCCCCCCCCCCCCCCCCCCCCCCCCCCCCCCCCCTTCCCCCCCCCCCCCTTCCCCCCCCCCCCCCCCCCCCCCACCCCCCCTCCCCCCCCCCCCCTTCCCCCCCCCCCCCCTTTTTCCCCCCCCCCCCCCCCCCCCCCCCTCCCCCCCGGGGGCCCCCCCCCCCCCCCCCTCCCCCTTTTTCCCCCCCCCCCCCCCCCCCCCCGGCCCCCCCCCCGCCCCCCCCCCCCCTTCCCCCCAAAATTTTTCCCCACCCCTTTTTTTCCCCCCCCCCCCCTTTCCCCCCCCCCCCCCCCCCCCCCCCCCCAACCCCCCTCGGGCCCCCCCTTGGGCCCCCCCGCCCCCCCCCGGGCCCCCCCCCCCCTCCCCCCCCCCCCCCCGGGGGCCCCCCCCCCCCCCCCCCCCCCCGGGCCCCCCCCCCCCCCCCCCCGGCCCCCCCCCCCAACCCCCCCCAAACCCCCCCCCCCCCCCCCCCCCCCCCCCCCCCCCGGGGCCCCCCCCCCCGGGGGAAAACCCCCCCCCCCCCCCCCCCCCCGGGGGCCCCCCCCCCCCCCCGGGCCCCCGGGCCCCCCCCAAAAAAAAAGAGGGAAACCCCCAAAAAAAAAACCCCCCCCCCCAAAAAACCCCCCGGAAAGGGGCCCCCCCAAAAAAAAAAGGAAAAAAAAAAAATTTTTGGGGGGGGCGGAAAAAAAAACCCCCCCCCCAAAAAAGGAAAAACCCCCCCGGGGGGGGAAAAAAAAAAAAAAAAAAAAAAAAAAAAAAAAAAAGGGGGGGGGGGAAAAAAAACGAAACCCCCAAAAAAAAAAAAAGGGGGGGGGGGGGGAAAAAAAAAAAGGGAAAAAAAAAGGGGGGGGGAAAACCCCCAAAAAAAAAAAAACCCCCCGGGGAAAAGGGCCGGGGGGGGAAAAAGGAAAAAAACCCCCCCCCCGGGGGGGGGGGGGAAAAAAAAAAAAGGGGGGAAAAAAAATTTAAAAAAAAAAAAGGGGGGAAAAAAAAAAAAACCCCCCAAAAAAAAAAGAAAAAAAAAAGGGGGAAAAAAAAAAAAAAAAAAAAAGGGGGGGGGGGGGGGGGGGGGGGGGGGGGGAAAAAAAAGGGGCCCCCCCCCCCAAAAAAAAAAAAAAAAAAAAAAAAAAACCCCCCCCCCCCGGGGGCCCCGGGGGGCCCCCCCCCCCCCCCCGGGGGGGGGCCCCCAAAAAAAAACCCCCCAAAAAAAAAAAAAAAAAAAGGGGAAAAAAGGGGGCCCCCCCCCGGGGGGGGGGAAAAAAAAAAAAAAAAAAAAAAAACCCCCCCCCCCCCTCCCCCTCCGGGGGGCCCCCCCCCCTTTTACCCCTTTTTTCCCAAAAACCCCCCCCCCCCCCGGAACCTTTCCCAAAACCCCCCCGGGCCCCCCCCCCCCCGGGGGGCCCCCCTCCCTTAACCCCCCCGGGGGGGCCCCCCCCCTCCAAAAAAAAAAGGCCCCCCCCCCCCCCCCCCCCCCCCCCCCTTTCCCCCCCCTTTCCCCCCCCAAACCCCCCCCCCTTCCCTTTCCCCCCCCCCGGGGGGTTTTTTGGGGTTGGGGGGCCCCCCCCCCCCTTTTGGGGGGTCCCAAAAACCCCCCCCCCCCCCCCCCCCGGGGGCCCCCCCCCCTTCTTTCCCCCCCCTTTCCCCCCCCCCCCCCTTTTTCCCCCCCCCTTTTTCCCACCCCCCCCCAAAAATTTCCTTTTTTTCCCCCTTTTTCCCCTTTTCCCCCCCCCCGGGGGGCCCCCAAAATTTCCCCCCCCCCCCTCAGGAAAAAATTTTTTTTCCCCCCCCCCGGGGAAATTGGCCCCTTTAAACCCCCCCCAAAAAATTTTTTTGGGGGGGGAAAAACCCCCCCCCCTTTTAAAAAAAAAATTTTTTGGGGAAAAAAAAACCCCCCAAAAAAATCCCCAAAAAAATTTTTTTTTTTTCCCCCCCCCCGATAAAGGGTTTTTCCCCCCCTTTCCCCCCAAAAATTTTTTTTTAATTTTTTGGGGGCCCCCCCAAAAAGGGGGGGCCCCCCCCCCGGGGGGGGGATTGGCCCCCCCCCCCCCCAAAAAACCCCCTTTGGGGGCCCCCTCCGGGGGGGGGGTTCCCCCCGCCCCCCCCACCCAAAAAGGGGCCCCCTTTAAAACCCCCCAAAAAAAACCCCCCCCCCCCCCCCTTTTTTTAAAAAGGGGGAAAAAAACCCCCTTTTTTCCTTGGGGGGGGGCCCCCCCAAAAAAAATTTTCCCCCAAAAAAACCCCCCCTTTTTCCCCCGGCACTTTTCCCCCCAACCCCCCCACCCCTTTTTTTTACGGAAAGGGGCCCCCCCCACCAACCTTTTTAAAAAAGGGGCCCTTTCCCCCCCCCTTTTTTGGGGGGGGCCCCCCCCCCCCAAAAAAAAAAAAAACCCCCCAAAAAACAAAAAATTTTTTTGGTTTAAAAAAAATTTTTTAAAACCGGGGAAAAGGGAAAAAACCCAAAAAAACCCCTTGGGGGTTTTTTAAAAAAACCCCCCCCCCCGGTGACGGGAGAGTCCGAAGGAGACGGACCGTGCCGTGTCCCGGACCGCAGCCAAGGGCGACACCTCTGGCAGCTGGCTTGGCTCAGCAGCCTCTTTCCTCACCAGATCCTTCTACTGGTGAACCTGGGGTCCTTTCCTCACCAGATCCTTCTACTGGTGAACCTGGGGTCCTTTGATCACCAGATCCTTCTACTGGTGAACCTGGGGTCCTCAGGAGCTGGCAGCCGAAGTGGACACTCCCCATCATGGATTTAAAAGCATAGGATTGGATTCCACTATTGTTAAATCCATGAAGGAGGGTGTAAGTGCACATTACAGGACCAGGGTAGAGAAACGGGACGTGACCAGTGGTGGAAAAAGTACCCAGTTGTCATACTTGATTAAAAGTAAAGATACCTTAATAGAAAATGACTCAGGTAAAAGTCATCCAGTAAAAAACTACTTGAGTAAAAGTCAAAGTATTTGGTTTTAAATATACTTAAGTATAAATGATTTAAAATTCCTTATACTAAGCAAATCAGACAGCACCATTTTGCTTTTTTAATGTTTATTTATGGGTAGCCAGGGTCACTAGCCAGGGTCACTAGCCAGGGTCACACTCCAACACACAGACATCATTTACAGATAGCCAGGGTCACTAGCCAGGGTCACACTCCAACACACAGACATCATTTACAGGTAGCCAGGGTCACTAGCCAGGGTCACACTCCAACACACAGACATCATTTACAGATAGCCAGGGTCACACTCCAACACACAGACATCATTTACAGATAGCCAGGGGCACACTCCAACACACAGACATCATTTACAGATAGCCAGGGGCACACTCCAACACACAGACATCATTTACAGATAGCCAGGGGCACACTCCAACACACAGACATCATTTACAGATAGCCAGGGTCACACTCCAACACACAGACATCATTTACAGATAGCCAGGGTCACACTCCAACACACAGACATCATTTACAGATAGCCAGGGTCACACTCCAACACACAGACATCATTTACAGATAGCCAGGGGCACACTCCAACACACAGACATCATTTACAGATAGCCAGGGGCACACTCCAACACACAGACATCATTTACAGATAGCCAGGGTCACACTCCAACACACAGACATCATTTACAGATAGCCAGGGTCACACTCCAACACACAGACATCATTTACAGATAGCCAGGGTCACACTCCAACACACAGACATCATTTACAGATAGCCAGGGTCACTAGCCAGGGTCACACTCCAACACACAGACATCATTTACAGGTAGCCAGGGTCACTAGCCAGGGTCACACTCCAACACACAGACATCATTTACAGATAGCCAGGGGCACACTCCAACACACAGACATCATTTACAAACCAAGCATGTGTGTTTAGTGATTCTGCCAGATGAGGCAGTAGGGATGACCAGGGATGTTCTCTTGAAAAGTGTGTGAATTGAACCATTTTCCTGTCCTGCTAATCATTCAGAATGTAATGAGTACTTTTAGGTGCCAGGGAAAATGTATGGAGTAAAAAGTACGTTATTTTCTTTAGGTATGCAGTGAAGTAAAAGTTGACAAATATTAATAGTAAAGTACAGATACCCCAAAAAACTACTTTAAGTAAAAAATACTTTAAAGTACTACTGAAGTAGTTTACACCACTGCCACCGACTAGGGTGACCACATTTAAAATACCCAAATGCTGGACAATGGGATGATTTTGTGGGACATTGTAACCTACATCATCCCCTTCCTGTTTTTTTTTGGTAAATTAGTGGTGTTTGAATTTGTTAATAAAAGGCCAAAATGTGGGACTGTCCTGCCCAATCCGGGACACATGGTCACTCGACCAACAAATATGTCTTAATGAGACAGTAGAACGCTGCCGTTGCCTGAGAAAGGGCTTCTCTGTTGATTTTCTGTTGCAGCCCTGCTCACTGCTTTCAGGTAATACATTGGGATGAATGTGCGTGTTATCCAACACTTCAATCTGGTCTATTTATCCATGTTGTTACCTGTTGTTGCTGTCGGAACTCTACGCCTGTTGAAATGTTTGATTTGTGTACTTCTATGTTCTGGGGGATTTACTACAAAGCAGGATCAGTGAGGAAACTAATTCGCCTAAATATTCTTAATTTATTTATTGTTTTTTTGGAAAGATAAGCTTGAAATGGGCATTGTCTGACTCAACAACTAAAAAACAAATATCTGAGTTTTCTTAATGTCAAAAGCTGAAGAACATAGGCCCATCCAGGTAGAAGTTGAATGCACCAATTTGTAAGCCGCTCTGGATAAGAGCGTCTGCTAAATGACGTAAATGTATGTTTAGCAGGTGCTGGAGTTGGAAAACAGAAAGGAAACCCCTGACGCTGCTTCTCATGCTCCCAGGTGATCCACATGGACGCCTGATGAAGACCTAAAAAACACTTCTGTTTTTTATTTCTACCTGGTAGTTAATTGCACTCACCTGGTGTCCCAGGTCTGAATTAGCCCCTGATTAGAAGGAGAGGATGAAAAACAGAGGTGTTTCGGCCCTCCAGGACTGGAATTGAAGAACCCTGACCTAAGGGTTGAAACGTTATAATAAAATCACCTGGGACCAGGAGCAGCGCTTTCCTTTTTATTTTTCCAAGTTTTCTTAATGAACCAAACAATCTAGTTATCATTGATCCTGTTTTGTGGTCCACAGTACCCCTCAGATCTTTTGTCTTTTTATAATATTTTATTGAACTCGTTGCCCCTGAGGTGACCCTAAAACGCTTGTAAAAACTGCCTTCAATATGTTTGCTAATTCTGAAATAAATGACCCCCCCCCCCCTAAAAAAAAAAAAAATCATGTAAACAAACCACAATCTCCAAACAAACTCAAATGAACAGATGAGCAAAACATTTCATATATTAAATACACAAATCAGACTCCGTTAATAGAGAATATTAGAAACGTTTGACAACTTTGTCCAAATACAAATAATGCTTATAAAACAGTCACCACTAAGGACTACACCAGACGGGTCTACTACAAAGCAGGGTCCATGAGTTAGCCAGCTCGCTTGCCAAAATATTCTGAAATTACTTTTTAGAAAGATAAGTTTGAAATGGGCATGGAACCCTGATGAAGCCAGTTTAGCGATTGAAAGGTGTAATCCATTGTTGCATCAGTCAGTGCAGCCAAACCAATACCCTGATCGGTATGATCATTATCCAGGCTTTACCAGTAGGTAGAAGTATATTTTATCCTGTAGTCTATCCACGGTTGCCCCTAGACGCTGATCTGGGGTCAGAAAAGGCGATCAGAGATCTAGGTAAACATCTAAGTGTGTATGTTGTCCCCCACCTGTCCGCTCGGGGGCCGGTCTCCCGGTTCCATTACGTCCGCTCGGTCGAGAGGCTAATCCCTCAGATGACGTCAGGAATGGCGGACCAGGACAGCAGCGACGCGCCGCCGGAGCCGCAAGGTGAGCTCCCATCGACGGGAAACTTTACTCGACAACTTCTCCCCCAAGTTTAATGGGTGAATTAACTTGGGGGTATCCGTGGACAGTACGGATAGGTTGTTTTTGAACCCCCCCTGCTCTGTTTGTCGACGAGAATATAAATGATTGGAAATAGCGAGAGCCGCCGGGTCACGGGGACCGGATTAACTATCAACCCATAGATCACTGAACCCGCCGGTTATTATGCAGCTGTTTGTTTCAAACGGAAAACTTATTTTCATCGACTTGTTCGGGTCGTTTCCCAGACTATTTCGGACACACGGCTAGATACACCTGTTGGCTGGGGATGTGGAATGGCCCGCTGCCGTAGAATTCCCGGTGTTCCCCGCCGAGTTGATATGACAGGTGTAGCCGGTGGGAACAGCCCGGAGCTCTGTAACCCGCATATCGTTCATTTTTCAATTCTATTACACAGTATGCCTGTCATGTTCGGCACACTTCTGACACGAATTGTACCAAACTAGACAAGGGAAATAGTGTTGCGGCCAGGCTACCAAATGGACGGCTACAGATTGCATAAAGGGATTATGGCGTTGTTGTCGTGCCTTGCCTGGAAACCCTCCAATTCTACGGCAGGCAGAAATGACCGTTTGAATCAGGAAACTTTCTTCTCACGACCTCCACAACGATATATTTTTTTAAAATATAATTGTATTCAACATTCTGGCTTGTAGAGGTCTTGAGGAAAGCGTCATGATTCAAACGCTAATTTCTGCCCGAGTTGAATTCCAGGCAACGTAGTGCCAAGTGCTGCCTGTTGACAGGATGAAGAGGTTAAGGCTACTGTGGAAGAGATTTGGTTTCAGTGTTAGGCTATGTGTTTGCATCATGGCCTAGAATCTAGCTTTTGGCCGTTGGATGCATTATGTTGTTCCCAGGAATAAGGAATATATCCCCAGCATGGTGGTTCTATGAGGTTTAGGCCTATTAACTAACCTCAGGCCTAATCAATCTCAAATAGGCCTCTGGGGATGAAATAGGATGACATTTTTGTCCCCCATGATGAAATCAGAGAGCGGCCTGTGGATCGGTCTCCGTCCGTCTCGTTAATATGTTGAAGTCTTACATTGCCCTTATGCACTCTTGTTACGTTGCGCCGGATGTCATGTATTACAATGGGGGACGCCCACAATGGCGTGGAATCGCAGCGCCCTCTTGCGGTTGAAGGGTCCGTTGTGAGACAGACGCAGCATACTTTGAAATGTTCTTAACTTTGGGTCGTTCTTATGGAGCCAGATAACTGCCAAAAGTTTGAAACTACGTAAATTTTTCGGATCGTATAAAAAGCCCTGCGTGAAACATGAAACAGCCGTTAAATTAGATCTGTAAACGTACAACTATGAATGAAAATTTACAGGTTCAATTCTTTGTCTCCTATTACTCATTTACATATATATTTTTTTATATGTACAAACTTTTTTCAGGCATCTGCAAAGGACATGAACCGAATGTAGCTAGTCAATCAAGCAACTCTTCCCCCAGACTTTAGAGTTGCTTTGCGGCTTCCCGGTTTAATTTCCAAAATAAAAGTCTACAGCTTGTTTTAGAACGGCATTCGATAACGACGTTATACCAGTAGATGGCGTAGTAAAGGCTTGGGTCTTCAGCAAATGACTTGTGTGAGAATTATACTATAAAGACACAGAAGAGCCTTGTCTAGAATAACCGCCTGAGCTGCAACATAGAAAGTAAATATGATTTAGGCCTATTCCGCTATCTAAATACGCCATGCTGTTGTGTGTTATTTAATGGCCATATCATTGCATCATTTAATTTTATAGCCCAACCCCGTCACGAAGAGGCTATATCCATGTCCAATAAATGAGACAAAACAAAATATTGATGAAGTCTTGGCTATAACCTGTCCTGAGCTAAATAGCCAAGGGGTCCCAAATGGTCAGGATGATCTACAGACTATTCTTACTGGCAGATCTGTTTCCCCCTCATCAGATCTGTTTCCCCCCCATCAGATCTGTTTCCCCCATCAGATCTGTTTCCCCCATCAGCCACTATATTTAGAGGTCCTCTGTAGCTCAATTGGTAGAGCACGGCGCTTGTAACGCCAGGGTAGTGGGTTCGATCCCCGGGACCACCCATACGTGAAAATGTATGCACACATGACTGTAAGTCGCTTTGGATAAAAGCGTCTGCTAAATGGCATATTATTATATTATTAGTATTATTATTATTATTATTATTATTATTTATCTAGAGGCCTGTGAGCCAGGGTCTGTTTAAGGGGAGGCCTATAATAAAAACGGTTATAAAACACAAATACATTTCTAAAATTATTCCGCAAGACCCCAATGATAGCCTAAATTGCAATGCCTACCAGTTGAAGGCCTGTTTTTTGTATTTGGCGTAAATTAAACATTGAATTATTAAAGTGACAGGCTAAAGAACTTTGGAGAATTTAGTTAATTTTGAATACACAGATGGATTTCGATAAACAAATGGATAAGACTGTTCTATTCCCTTTTGATTTAGTTCCTATTGCAACTCAGACAAATGACAGAATGGATGACTTACTGACTGTCTGAACTGAATGAAGAATGACTTAAATGTTCAAATATGTTGGAATGATGAGTTGCACGCATCATGCTCTGCACTTTATTTGGCTAGTAGGTAAATAGGCCTTCGTTAGGGGTATAATGACTGGCTGCATGCCTCCAGATGGGCCTTTTCTGAGGCTGAGGGGTGCTTTTCCGAAGGCGCGTGGTGCTGTGGTGCTGCAGGGAGATCACAAGCTCTTCAACTGGGCAGCAGTTTCACGATGGAGGAAGTAGCCTATACGGAGACTACCTAAGACCACTGGAACAGAGTTATTGTAAAGTGTGGGAATAAGCTTATGCCAGACTTGACCTACTTTCAACCTCTCCCTTGTTAATTTCAAAGTCCATATGTGACCGACCGGCTCGATTCGGTCTTGTGTAGCAAAATTTGAAATTGTGTTTTTTCCATTGGATAAAAGTAAAGACTCAGTGCTAGAAAATGGTATATCATACACTACAGTTGAGGAACAATGGGAAAGTAATTCTACTTTGAAAGGTGATACTTGTACATGTAACCTCACTTTTGAGAAAATGGCTCTTGAATCTTTTGGTACACCTACTGAAGAGCTCTTCTTTGTCTACACCCATTCAGCATCGTTCACACCCTCTTAAGCTTTAGCCCCGCCCATCTCTTTAAGTGTTGATCCGAGCGTTCTGTCCTAACAAGCACCCAAGCTAACTGGCTAACGTTGGCTAGCTTGCTAGCTACTTCCAGACACAAATGAGAGAACAGCTCACTGACCATTTTACTCGCCCTAGCAGAGCTGGTTAGGCAGTTTTTATGTTATCCAAAACGTTGGTGACTGCAGCTGTGCTGCTGGCAACAATTTCTACTTTTTTTGCCAACATTTACTGACACCGGCCGTATTCAACGGGTGTTGAGCGTTCGTAAATTCGTCAGTTATTCTGGCTCTGGCACACTCAGACGAGAGTGCTCTGAAAAGTGGAGACCAACACTTATGTAGTTCTACTACGCGATATATTTAAAGAAAAAGCTGCGTTAAATAGGATTACCTACACATACTGACCATCTCAAATAGACAGAAGTGTGCTACATGGCAGACCAATCCGAACTCATCTCTCGGCATGTCCAGCCCACTCATCATCTCAGCCAATCATGGCTAGCGGGATGGTTGCTGTCTTTTTCTGTGGCTAAACCAACTAGGCTCGTAATTTTTTATTTATTCGTATTTACAGATGGCATACACATTTGTTATTAAGGAACATGAAAGTTCACATGTTCCAGAAGGCATTTCTGCAAAAAAAGTATTTGGATAAAAAAATAAATACGTTTATGTTCAAATGCCTCTCCTGTGAAGTAGTGACGCGCGACAAACGCCTAGTTTCCTGAAACGAGTCACATGTGCATGACCCGATTCCTATAAATCATGTCAAATTATTTTGAATTCTTATTAACCCCTCCTACAGAATATGCTTTGGCAAGTTTTTTAGTGATGAAATACATTTCAAAATATTTAGTAAAAAAGTATTTTGAGTGGCAAAGACTCCAGTGGTCGTACATAATTCATAGACTCACCAAACATCTATTATTATTATTATATTTGTCATTATTCCTGGTGTATACTGCTGGTTATGATTGCAGACAGAGCCCAGAGAATGGGATGGTGCAATATTGAATGAGTCATATTTTGATAAGGTGCATGCATGGGGATGTCCACGTCACCCAGAGATACGCCCATGCTGTAGAGATACACCTAGTGGACTGAAACTTCACTGTTGTAGGCATAATACAGCTAGTGCTATCTAGACTTGCACTGGTAAACAAATCCATTACATTAGCTACCTAAATGTGAAGTAAACTCAACTGAGGAGTAATAGAGAATGGAGACTTTTATCTTGAAAACGTGCAGGATGCCTCTTTTCGGTTTCCCTACCTACGGGGGGGGGGTGTACCTACGGGGGGGGGGGGTAGGCTACCTACGGGGGGTAGGCTACCTACGGGGGGGGTTGGCTACCTACGGGGGGGGGGAGGCTACCTACAGGATGAGATTATTATGGACCAAAGACTGAGATTCATTTGTATTTGTCAATGATCATGTCACCAGAATAAGACCCTCGATATTTATCGCCGTGCCCTTTCACCACCCTATGAAGTTCATCATAACCTATTTCATCTGTAGCTTTAATAAACTGCATGCTTTTTCTGACGAGTCGTAGTGGGAGGACCACGTCATCGCATGACTCCAAGTTTACTGTCATATAATGGTTATTATACCAATAGTTGTGCGTAGACGTTTCCACCACTATTACTCTCATAAATCACTTTAGTGACACAAAAAGATCCCCCCCCACCCCCACCACTTGTGATGTCATACGTACCTGGAACACCTATTGAGATGTACCTTTTGAAATAAATCAGCTGGAAAAGAGACTAAAGTGCCACTTTT